GCTGTGTTCCTGAGGTGGGATCTCTGCACCCGCCACATAGCACAGAGCAACTGTGGCCATATTTAGAATGCTAGTTACCCCAGAAATCAATACTGATGCTTAAGATAAATGCCTTAACTCAAATTCCTCTCTCCCTACTTTCCAGCTCCCACCATCCATACTTTTCTACAGAGCTTTCCATCAATGCTAGCATCCGTCCTATATAACACACAACTTCTTGAAAGAACACATTGGAGAGAAAGGAACCTCTGACCCAAGAGAAAAAAAAAGAACCTTTGTGTGCTGCTCTCTTGGGACATGTGATACCTTCTACAAGTTGCCCCTTTGAAATTTTTTGTTTGAAACCAGTGTTGATATCTGCAAAAACTCTTATTTTGCCAGCTGTAAAAGACTATATGTCTGATGGCTGGGATGTGTGTAAGGAGCTCTTGGCTGGAGAGTCTTTGGGGAGTTCAAGGAGAGCTGAGAGGCCTCGGACACCTCTCCAGTATGCACTGAGGAAGGAGTCTCCAGAATCAGTGGTGTACAGTAAGCATAGGAAGACTTGCATGCATACAGCCCTGCTTTGTCTAACAGAATAAAGGGGAGATCAAAGTGTGTTTGTCTCAAACACTTTCGGATAAATTTGCCTTTATGTTTAATGCTATATGTAAATACATATTCAAAAAAAGGAACAAGTTATTCTGAGAGCCTCAGTTCTTGGTGTCTAACTAGAAATGCATTACTAGCATCTGATTTTCAGAGGGAAGCTGCTCAATGCTTTTTCAGAACCATGTTACTTTAAAGTGGGGGTAGATAACCTATAGCACATGTGCCATGTGGGCAGCCTTTTGTATGTGGCATGTGGCAAATCAGGGAGGAAACAGGCAGCACAGCAGTGTACAGGACAAGTAGCAGAAATCAAAGTAGTAGATTGGGTAGGGAACACAAAACAAAGCAGATCAGCAAATTGGCCAGAGGAAGGAAACTGGAGTGACACTAGGGGAGGGTGCAGGATTAAGTTGTGGCACACCTGTCAAGAACACCCAAAATTGTTGGTTTCTATTGAAATTAACCATCCATCCATCTGTCTAAAATTTAAACCAGTTGCCCACAGCAGTGTCTATCTGTAAATTGCATTTTAAGTATCAATTTTTTTTTATTTGCCAAAGCTTTGGCCTCCATTTTAATATGGCAATGCTAGCATTTAAGTGTATTTTTGTGAGGCGTCTGGAGTGTTGTGGTGGATAGGCACCATATAAATAACATTTATTGTTATTATCATTATATGCTGCATTCACTCTGTTTTGCTACCATTAATAAACCATTCAAGCAATGTTGTTGCAATGTATAATATTAGCAGTATGCTCCTTAGGGGAACATATAACTGGGTATTTAATATTCTATGTGTTTCCCAGCCCATCTCTACACCGGCACAGATGCTACATAGTGTTCAAAGTTCAATGTAAAAAAAAAAAATGGCATGGGTATGCAAAGATAAAAAAAATCTTACAACACACAGTGCTGTAACTCACAAAATGTACATTGCTGTCAAAATTCTGCTA